CAACATCATGGAAATTTAATTCATGTTCCCGTCGAACAGCGGTCAGCCATTTTTGGGTGAGTCATTTCTTTTAGTGGGGAATGGATATTCTAGGACCTTTGCCCATGGCTAAAGGACAGCGGAAGTTTTTGCTGGTGGCCATTGATTATTTTAATAAGTGGGTTGAAGCAAAGCCTTTGGCTACCATTACCACGGCGAAGGTACAAAGCTTCATCTGGAAGAATGAAATATGCAGATTTGGTATACCAAGAGCGTTGTCAATGACAACGGAAGGTAGTTTAACAACCACAACTTCAAGGCTTTTTGCTCAAGTTATCGTATAGATTACAGACTAACCTCGGTGGTTCACCCTCAATCTAATGGGCAGGCAAAAGTCACATACCGAACTATCATGCGGGACCTTAAAACGAGATTAGAGAAGGAAAATGGGCTTTAGACAGATGAACTACCTAAAGCATTGTGGGCATATCACACCACCTTGCTACTGGTCGATGGTCGACCAGCAGCTAGGGGCTGGTGGTGAACTTTCAAACAAAAAATGGTTAAAGCTAAAAATCACCAAACTCGATGATCAACATCGCTCGACGCATAGTAGTGAGGAAAAAAGTCAAAAACTTGACAAGCTCAAAATTGTTAGGGGTTGGTGGTGAGCTTTCAAAATCAAAAATGGTTATGACTCAAAAAAATCACCAAGTCCGGTAATCAACATCGCTCGACGCATAGCGGTGAGCAAAAAAGTCAAAAACCTTACCAGCTCAAAATCGCTAGGGGCTGGTGGTGAGTTCTCAAAACCAAAAATGGTTAAGGCTAAAAATCACCAAGCCCGGTGATCAACATACCTTGACACATAGCGGTGAGAAAAAAAGTCAAAAACCTGACTAGCTCAAAATCGCTAAGGGCTAGTGGTGAGTTCTCAAAACCAAAAATGGTTAAGGCTCAAAATCACTGAGCCCAGTGATCAACATAGCTCGACGCATAGCGGTGAGGAAAAAAGTCAAAAACTTGACTAGCTCAAAATCGCTAGGGGCTGGTGGTGAGCTCTCAAAATCAAAAATGGTTAAAGCTGAAAATCACCAAGTCCGACGATCAACATAGCTCGACGCATAGCAATGAGCAAAAAAATTAAAAACTTGACTAGCTCAAAATCGTTAGGGGCTGGTGGTGAGCTTTCAAAATAAAAATGGTTAAGGTTCAAAATCACCAAACTCGGTGATTAACATCGCTCGATGCATAGTGGTGAGCAAAAAAGTAAAAAACTTGACTAGCTCAAAATCGCTTGGGGTTGGTGGTGAGCTTTCAAAATCGAAAATGGTTAAGACTCAAAATCACCAAGCCCAGTGATCAACATCGCTGGACGTATAGCGGTGAGCAAAAAAGTCGAAAACTTGTCCCGCTCAGTTTCTACATTTCGGTTTAAAGATTTAGCTGACCCAACATGGCGTTTTGGGGAAATCAGTTGGAAATCTTGAAATTCAGCTGAATGAATTGAAATACTTGACTCGAAAGGAATTTGGGTACAAGAGGGACTGCAATCGATAAACAACCCGTGACTAGCCGTAGGGCTGGTCGACATATAGTTGGTCGACCATCGACCAACATTGCTGCTGGTCGACAATCGACCAGCAGTTACTTTGCTGGTTGTCCCCAATCGTCGACCAGCGACCCCGATCCTCGGTCGACCAGCCCATCCAAAGATGGGTCGGTCGACCCTCTTGCCCCCTCACTCTCACTTTGGCCGGAAGATGAAGAAATGAAAATTTTATACATTATGAAACACGAAAGGAAGGAATGAAATGAGAGAAATTACCTTGAAAGAGGATGAGAAGAATGACAATTTTGATAAATGAGAAGAGGGAGTGAAATAGGTGCACGCACACACCTCTTAAAAAGCTATCCCTCGTCGATAGACATTGATAAGAGGTAGAGGGGCTAGTGATATAAGATAGCATTAATAATTATCCACGATTATCATTGAGGTAAGAGTTACTTGATATGCACCACACGTAGAGCACCATATGATAGGTCACCTACTACTATAAAGAAGTCAACCTCCATGGGCCGCCTATCACCATGAGGCCCTCTACGTTCATATATGTCGTCGACCATTGCGAGGTCGTCGACCCCCATGATAGGTCACCTACTACTATAAAGAAGTCAACCCCCATGGGGATGCCTACCCGCATGAGTCCCTCTACGTTCACATATGTCGTCTACCACCATGAGGCCATCGACGTTTACATAGACGTATACCACTATGAGGTCTTCGACCCCCATGAGGCCCTCTATGTTCACATATGTCGTCTATTACCAAGAGGTTGCCTACCACTACATGACCCTCTACATTCACATAGCCGTCTACCACCATTAGGCTTTCTACGTTCACATAGGCCGCCTTCCACCCATGAGACCCTCTACGTTCACATAGGCCGTCTACTACTATGAGGCCGTCGACCCCCATGAGGCCCGCTACGTTCGTATAGGCCGCATATCATTATGAGGCAAATGCTACACTTAACCATACAGATGGTGATGAGTTAGACGAAAACCACCCAACAGCGAACGTGGGTACAACCAACCATTTGAAGAGTAGGGGTCACTCTACTAGAACGTGGGGAAAGTGAGAAGGTTTATGTGGGATGCGTGGTACCAACAACCGCCGAATGCGTAGCAACAGATGCCTATAAATACCTCCAAGGTGATAAATGTAACTTCTTCTTGAAACCCGAACTATTTGAATTCCCATATTCACTCTACTTACTTCCTAAAAAGCCCCAACCTCATTTTGCAGATAGCGTACACCGATCGGAGTGCTCGGAACACCGCACCAATTAAGATGAGCACGATGGATAATCTCGCAACTATTTCACATATTCTTTAACCTAATGTCAGACTATATATATAGACTATTATAAAATCCCTAAAGTTACTGGGTCCAAAATTGATTAATCTCGGCAACACCGCACCAATTAAGATGAGCACGAAGGATAATCTCGCAACTATTTCACATATTCTTTAACCTAATGTCAGACTATATATATAGACTATTATAAAATCCCTAAAGTTACTGGGTCCAAAATTGATTAATCTCGGCACGTTAACTAAACTCGTTAAAACCTCAACATTTGGAGCTTTAATTTGTTCTTACTTAATAATCTCAACAGTATTTGTTGATCTCTCTTGGTGAAATGAAATCACTTCGAAAATTCTTTTTTAAGAACAGATGTGCATGTATCTATAGAATACTTCGTAGTCTTTATTTAATCATATATTAGCAATTTAGCTATACTTAATTAGACAATAATCAACTGGATTGAAGAATGGATGTAATATATTATATGTCAAGAGATGAATTTCAAATTGATTAGATATAAAAGTATTAACAAATATATAAAGATATATGCTATTTATCTTAACATTAGATTAATCTTGAGACCCTATATGGCTTTAGAGCCAACATGCTTAAATGAGAAATTCGGTTCGTCTAAAACTAACGAGCATTGGAATTCTGAAATCGATGTTCTCAAACGATTTGCTATCTTATGAGGACGTGGTGAATCTCAAATTGTTTAAATATAAAAAACATTAACCAACATTTAAGAATTTGAGTTTTTTTTATTAATAATGCTGACCTTATAAAATAGAAATGTCGAGATCCAATTACTTGTTCCTCGTTTTGTTTAATATAATGTATCTTTATTGTCTCAAAAATTATATTCTTATTTAATGAAATATTAGAAAACGAAAAAAGATTTTTGTTGTTAAGAATTGACTCGTGAATAAATTTTTTTCATAAAGGACATAATTGACCAGTGTGTATTTGAATATTGTAAAATGCAAAATATATTAGGAATATAGTTGAGAATTTCTAGAATTCTGAGTCAAGGCACAATATTATTTAACATATCATGGCTTGATTTGTCAAATTGTATTATTATTATTATTATTTTATTTTATTTTTTCGCTTTGTACAAGTGGCCAAGGGGACAAAAAACCCCAATCGTGGGGGCCATGAGAGGTTGTATTAATCTACTTATATGCCTATTCTCTACACCTTGAATTACACTTTCTTATGTGTCAAAAATTTGGTCATACATTTGAAAAACGTATTGTTAAAATCAATGCACCAAAATTTGCCAATTCACCAAAATGTAAACTAAAATGTCAACCTTTATATACATCTAGCATGATCCAAAAATTCGCCCTCCAATAGTGGGGGAAGAATCCCCATGTTTTGTCCTATATAAATAGCACGGTTAATATAAGTTTACACATAAATCCAAATTGTATTCTTATTTAATTACTTACATTCTCTAAAATATTGCTATTAAAAAATCTATTTTGGGACTCAAAAAAAATTCTTAAATTCATTTCTAATATCGTGTATGCCATGATTACTTCGAGTATCTCTATATGATCTCAGAAAATACGATTTGCAAATCACAAGAAATGGTAAAATTTCAGTAATTTGAAAAATTAAAATTAAAGAAAAAAAAAAAGACAATATCAATAACATAACAACCTTAGAGTATCTTAAAAAAAATACAAGAGAAATGTTTTGTACATTGAATTAGATAAAACCCGAATAGGATATAATAAAAGGAATGCGAAAATATTTATTTAGTTCTATGGCTAATTCTATACATTGGTACTTATTGAACAGCTATAAATAAATAAAATGAGTGGGAACATAGCTTAATAATTATTTTACACGCGGAGGGAAAGGATGCATTAACAGGTAATGCTTACCTAAAGAAAAGGTGAAGGGACAACAATACAGCCTTACCCCACCCAAACCCAAAGCGACACATTATGGATTAAAGTTAATATTTAAAATTCATTAGAGATATGGAAGATCCAGATTGATATCTGGTTGGATCTCTTGTATCTTTCCACCTCATATATATAAACAAACAACCCATCAATATTCTCCATTAGTTCTGCACTCAGATTAATTTTGACTAGTTTTCCTATTGTTTTATACACTGATCAAAAGAATGGCAATGGGTGGGGTAATTTTAGAAACGAAGTTCCATGTATTAGCAGTTGACGATAGCATCGTCGACAGAAAGTTGATTGAGAGACTCCTCAAGACTTCTTCTTATCAAGGTAAATCCAAATAATTTTAAATTTTGATTTGTACTTTTAACTTTATAATTATAATAGACTGAATTTTTTTGTGATGGATTTGGTTATTAATTCCAGTTACTGTTGTGGATTCTGGAGTAAAGGCTCTTGAGTTTCTGGGTTTGCTGGATGATGAAAATGGAAGCATTGATTCTACAGCACAAAATCATCACCAAGTACAAGTCAATTTGATCATTACAGATTACAGTATGCCTGGAATTACTGGTTATGATCTCCTGAGAAAGATCAAGGAATCGACTTCATTAAAGAACATCCCAGTTGTGATAATGTCATCTGAAGATGTTCCTTCAAGAATTAACAGTTGTTTAGAGACAGGAGCAGAAGAGTTCTTCTTGAAGCCTGTTCAACAATCTGATGTCAATAAGCTTAGACCGCACCTATTGAGAGGAATGGCTTGAATCAAATACCTTTAGATATTAGCAAATTAATTTACTGATTACTGAGAGTAACCCCCCTTTTTGACTCTGTAAATTCATAGAAACATATGGTTATAATAGTTTTGGGTTAACAAATGATGATTTATAATTTTTATTTGGCTTGCAATTTAACCATCAAGGTTCAATTACATCTTTTATTAGATTACAGTTTTCCATCTTCTATTACTATTTCAACCGAAGTTATAACTTAGGCGCTTTTTTGGTTGTTCTTTGATAAATTAAAACAAAATTTTGTAGTTCTTCAAAAAGCTGACCCTTTATCGATATTCTACAAAGAATAATGCTTTGTATACAATCCATGGTTGGCAAGAAATTTGACAATTCATGTTAATTCAAATTCGAATGGGCAGGAAAGTGTGTGGTGTTTAAAAACTGGCCACTCAACCTTCAACATGTGGCACATTGTCAAACTTGATGTCAAAAAAATTGTACTTGTAGCATGATTGTTCTACAAAACCAACAAGATTAAATTATGTTGTTATATTCGATTTTAACGTTCACCACATCCTGTTATTAGATTTGTATTAAGAGGAATTATAAAAAATCAGGGATTTAAAGTTTAGTTTTTAAAAATCAGGCACAGAGTTTGTTTAATCAAAAATCAGGTATATATTAAGACATAACCCTAATCCCAAACAAAACCTAAATCATTTCTATTATATTCTTCCTCAAATTCTCGTCTCCCTCTCTACCCTCTTCCTCACCGCCTCTACCTCTTCCTCATCGCCGCAGCGCCTCCGCCTCCCCCCCCCCCCTCAGCAGAGAATCGCTGCTGTCCCACCCAGCAGCGATTTCGCTGCTGCTCAGCGAAATCGCTGGGGACAGCAGCAAATCGCTGCTGCTGGGAACCAGCAGCGAAATCGCTGCTGCTGGGGACAGCAGCGATTTGCTGCTGGATTTCGCTGCTGCTGGGGTTGAATTCCAGTAGCAGCGAATCGCTGCTGGGGACAGCAGCGCTTTCCCGACAGCGATTTAAATTTGCCTCAAACCAGCTTCCAGTCTTTGTTCCTGGGGATTTTGAACCGAATTATCCATCTGGGTCAGGTCTGAAGTAGTAATTCTTGATCCCCTAGTATTCATTCTCCAATTATCGGGGTGAAATTGGGGAGTATTAGAAGAAACCCCTCGAGGGAGCAGCTTTTGAACAATCCAGAACCTTTTCCGATCAATTGCAGCCTGCAATGCAACTGA